ATTTCAACAGCTATGACAAAACAGTATTCTGCAATTTTCTTTCAGAGGGAATTTAAATGTCTTCTATCAATGCCTAAAGTATTAATGGTAGATAGGCAGATGAGACTTCAGCATTGCAAGTTTTCAGATGGAATGCGAGTTATACTTTAAATATCTCCTTCCCTGGGGCTTCATGGCATAACTAAACAGAGATGCCAGCATAGAAATCTTACTCTATCCATGGACTGTAACTTGTTTTGTAAGCATAATTATTTCAATCATAGTATTACAGCCTATTCCAAATGATATCTACAAGTATTTATATAGTTATTCTATAGTAGAACAAGTAGTATAGTAGTACAGTATAGTAGAACAAGCGAAAAAGTAGAAATGTGATGTTATTCAGATTGACTCTGTATGTCTAAGGCAAGTTATAAACATAACACTGCTTAAGAAACAGTTTGGAATTCCAATGATAAAATTAATCTAATGAAATGATGATGTATTTTAATTCATAATAGCATTACATGAATATGAAGTCCAACAACTCATAACCACAACTTGTTTTGCAATTAATTATGTCTTTAATGGTTAAAGGTGGTTGGATTTACTAGGGTGGTGATTTTCATATTTATTTTTGATTAAAAAGGGAGTCTTTATTAACTTGATTTATGCATCTAAAATAGTTACCAGGTGTAGTTAATCTCTTAACAGATGTTGCACAATAACAGTCATTAATGAGGAAAGCACAGCCTATCAAACTTACATTGTAAAAATGCAAAAAATCAAAATTCATCTGTGATTCATCTGATGTCAGACAGATTTTATTTAAAGTATTTCTTGATATTAGCAGAACTGTGTAAAGCCATGAATCAAATCTCAAATCTCTACCCTCAAGATGCAAAATAAAGACGTTTGTTTTACTGTTAACACAAAAGTAGTTTATAATTATTAGCTGCCCATGCTTGCATACATGTAGTAATGGCATCTAGCAAAAACATTTTAGCTTCCTCCAGACAGTACACATGCTGATGCTGGAAGTCCCTGAAAACCAGAGTATTTCAGCTCTGCATCTTCCAGTAAATTAAAGGGAACACAAATATTGCTACAGAATAGAAAAACGAAGCAGTAGAATATTGGCTTTAGTTAAAAAAGTAAATTAGAACCAATTTTGAAACAGGTAAATAGTTTCCTATGTAAATAATAATAATAAAAAAGATGAAGTGAGATATGTTTTTTATATGAATCCTTGGCTTTCAACTACAGAAAAACATGTTCCTGTTACTTGTAGAAATATTATTCTGTAATTCTTTAGTAATTTAAACATGAAGCTTAAATTGTTGTAAAAGTGAGCTTGTACTTTTTCAAAGCTATAAAAAAAACACTTTCAATAGACATAAGATTCTTAGATGCTGCAGGCAAAATACTACACATTCAGATGTTCACAGTAATTTTACAATTTGCAACAAGGTGGACTTTCTTGCAGGACTTGTAGAAGACATGAGTACATTCAGAAAAACTAAGAAATTATGAGAAAGATAGGGGAAGCACCTGCCAAGAGAATAGAATATTGAGCCTGAAAATATTGCACAGTCTTAACAACAGAGTTAGTCAACTCTCCAGAGAACAGAAGCAGAAATAATGATCCTTCCTGTCACATCAGTCGTATAAGCACTAATTAATCTGATTCCTACCTTAAAAAGTATATTAAAAAAAAGCTAGTAAAACTTGAGGTTTAGAACAGGGATGACTGTGCTTCCCTATCAGAGATGTGTGAAGTTACCAGCAAATGTGAAATCTTTTAGCTAGAACTCATTGGAAACAATTGCTGAGCTGAAAATAGTAGTTACTAATGTAATATCACAAGGTAACATGAAGGTATCTTAAAATTAGAAGGGAATAGGGGCAAGGGAGAGGACCAAACCAAGAACAAATATTTCTGATGCTCAGAAATGAAAAGCTTGCGCCAAAAATCTAGATGAATTTAAACAAAAGAAATAAAGATAAAATGAAAAACATACCCTTTTCAGTGTCAACAGTGCTGTCTCTACAAGAGACAGTATACATTTATCTTTTCAGCTATTAGGAAAGAAAAAAAGCAATCCAAGACTTTACTCCAAAGAAGATCTTAAAACAATGCAAGGCACCAGACTAACAGAGCATTCGTAATGATTATAATGATTACAGTATTTAAAAGCTGTTATTTACAATGAATTGCTGAATTGGCTAAAAAGAATGACAGCACGTCAAACTTGCTTTAAGGTGGTTGCTAATTTTAGCTCAATAAATGAAAGTAAGACAAAAATACCTTCAGGTCTGATCCTTGCCAGTCTAGAGAACTAGTGAAAGAATTTTATTTGCTATCTTCTTCATACTCGAAAGAAATAAAAATATGAATACTTACTATTCTCAAATTTCTTACTTTTAAAACCTTTCATAGCCCTGTTATTTGAAGATAAAAAAGTAAATTTCGAGTGAAAACACTTTCAACATTTCATTCAAAGAAATAAATGCTATTTGGAAGTGACAACACTTGAATATGAGGACTAGACTTCTTAACAAAGTGCAGCTATTAGCTCCTAATCAAACATGTCTTCAAGGGTGTGTTCCCCTGAGACAATGATGATGTTATCATAAGATTTACTGTCTTTGCACCCAAGAAATGAGTCTGCTGAAGTAGATGGTGAATGTCTCCCCTTAGCCTGCTGACATAAGGTTTGCCTAAAAATAACTCTTGGAAGTTTTAATTGTCCAAGTACATTGACTTCAAACTCAAATTTTAGTGACCCAGATGTCCTTAAAAGAAAGTGACAAATTGCTAGTGGCTAAGACACATAGAGAACTCTGAAGTTCGTATTTCAGCAGCAATATTTCTGTATTTTTCTTTGAACAATGTAACCATCAAGGGAAAGAAAAACTGTCTGATTTAAATTGAAAGACAAATGGATAAAACACTTTTTTTTTTTTTTTACCTACTCCCATCATTTTGTTTTTCAAGCTTTTAGGAGTGTTCAAATGATCCAAACGTCCAAAATTTAGAAGACTAAGGAAGATAAAAATAATACACAATTTACAGCCAATGACAGTGTTTTGATTAGCAAGTCTCCAAAAATAACAGTGAAAAGTCAATTAAGAATATAGGCTGTTCCTTCATGGATTTTTCACTTATTCCTTTATTGAAATAATGTGTTACCATTTATGTTTTTTCTAATGTTTCTTCTATTCTTTTGCCTTAGTTGTTAGATACTTTTCCTTACCTTCACATAATTTTTATTCTAATGGGCAAGTTCAATTAGAGAATGTGACTTCTTTACTGGTTGGAGATTCAAATTTACTTTTTTTGTTGTTGTTGTTAACCTCAACTTATATCCATTTCCTCTTATAGACATCACATATTTCTAATCAAAAGGAAACAACAGAAATGTGCTTACAATCTAACAAGCAAGATATTCTAGATTTTCACTTAATGTATTCAGAGAAATGTGACTAATGTTTTTACCCTTTGCTGCACTGGCATATATACAAACTTCAGAAACCTAGTAATTCTTTATTATCTAAGCTTATACAAAATATTTATATCTAGATAGAAGATGTTTATGACAGCACAACAGCAGACATGTCCTATTATTAACTACTTGCGTTTAGCTGATTCCCCTGGTAAAAACAATTACCAGTGTGACAAAATTAAATCGTCCAGCAGATGTCCTGTGGGAAGTGATATCAGACTGAGTGCAAACATAGTTGAAACCAATGACATTTTGTTCTGTATCACAGCTGATAAAAATCAGTAATGAGTTGAGACGTTTTTGTTATTTTATTCCATTTCTAATCCCTATGGCATTGCCATACTTCCCAACTGCAGTGATTCAACATGGTCTGCGTTGAGATCATTAAGGAAAAAAGATGAAGAAATGTACTGCATAGGTCTGGGTCTGAAAGGATTTCACAGCACAGTATGTGTTTTGGTGAAAAACTACAAGCAGGTGGAAAGGTGAAGAAAGGTCTTATAACTCTAAGTCTGTGGTCACTTGCTTTCCGTAGGGGATCCAGAATATTTATTATTTATACTTCTAGACTCTTCTCTTCTATACCTTACTATTCCTACCTAGAAAGAGAAGAAAATTACTCACACTTCAAACCAACTTTTAATCTAAGGTAGAAAAATAATTTTTTTTGCAACCCATATCTCATTATTCCCAAGGAGAACACGAATTATCCTATCCTAGGATTTCCACCTACAATATTCACTTCTACCAAGAAGAATCTAGCAGAGTGTTAAATTCAGTAACTCATTTTCTTTTGAAATGTGTAGTGAAAATAGAGCTAGAATTTGACAGACTTTATAAGCAAATACTGTATAGAATGTATTTTCCTAATGGTCATTCTGCTTCTTTTGACAAGAGGAATAGCTTAAAAAATAAGAATAAAGCTTATTGCACACATTGTTGCCACCTTTACTATTTGAAAGATGCATTACTACAGCTTAAATCACAGAAAGAATCTTCATAGAAAAATTTTTTTATGTTCAACAACCCAAGGCCAACCTTGGATTTTGAATCCTGCCCTGGGAAATAACCACCTTGCCAGGGATGCACCAATGCCTACTTCTGTGTATCCACACCACCATTTCTTCCCACCTAGTTAACAAGTGAAGTTCTTGCAGTGCCTCTGTCTTCTCAGAGCTCAGCTCTACGCTAGAAATTCAACAGGCCTCACGTCACCACTTTTTTTTTTTCTTCATGTTTTTCATGCTGCCTACTTTCCAGCTGTTATGACTCCAACTTCTGTATAGGCATGATAGAATAATACGCATTCAATTTTTGAAGTTACTTTCCACAGTATAAAAAAAGAGAATTTTGCTAAGTACCTTCAAAACAAACTATTCTTCCTCAAGAAACATTCTAGATTATGAACTAAATTTCTACTACCACTCTGACAATCAAGAATACACTTATACCCACCTTGACACACTAACATCTTAAAAGAATATTTCAGTCCATGTCTTTGCTTTTAAGTCCTACCTCCTCAGCTGCATCAGCTCATGTAGTTCTTTATCCTTCTGTTTCTCCTAGCGTTCATCCCATCTTGCCTGTAACAGTTGGCCACAACTCTAGATGGAGACAGAATGACAGCTCACCAAAAATCTCATCCTGTAATGGTGAGATCACATTCGCACATCACTTCTGAAGCCCCTCTTGAGCCCTTCTTAAATGAGTGCACTTAATGTAGGTGAAAGTAATTTAAGCAACTTGATTTCTAGTTACTGACTTTGGCAATAGGGGTGCAGTTCAGTTTTATGTCTTACCAGTAGATTGTACCAGTAGATAGAAATTAGCCACATAAAAAACAGCCCATATAAGAGCACTTCACCTTTAGATACTGAGTGCAGTTTGAGTAAAAAGGCTAAAAGCAGTCACTAGAAAGCTGTGAAATTAGGGTAGTTTTTTGCCTCTGAAGTACTAGCACAACTTCTGTCTATTTTGACTAACATTTTTACAGAACCGTAGAGATATTTAAAGAGATAATCCCGTATTCATCCCAAATAATTCTATTAATTTCAAAGTATCATTTTTTCCTACTCTGTGCCAGAAGATCTATCTGTGTTGAGGCACAATAGGTCTGGATCACAGTCCTGATCCTGCTTGATCAATTTTAACATGAATTAATTCGAGTATTTTCATAAATGAGTGCAGAAAAGCAGACAATTGAAAAGAAATAAAATTAAGCTAGGCAAGTGAAAGGGAGGTGATGAGGCAGTTTAAAATGTTTCTCACTATTTTAGGCTATATTTCACTTATAAACTAAAGGAAACTACTCTTACCAAGTGATACACCACTCAGTCCACCACAGAATATAACAGATTTTCTTACAAAGTTTAAGAGTTGCACTCCACGTTGTATGCAAAAAAATCTTGAAAGATGCTGTCCTTGTAAAAGCTATATAATAAAAAGGCAGTCTTGCACTTAAGTAAGAGTGCAATTTCCATCTAAGCTTACTTACTTTAAAAGCATGTTTAAGCTATGAAACTGTGTAATTTGGTTATAGAATTCAGCTGACCACTACGAAAACCTTCTGTCCAAGTACAGCAAAGCTGTAAATTTAAAAAAGATGATTGAGCATGTGGCGTTGGGGTTGGTGTTGAGGACCAATCTTCTTATAGCCTCTTAAATCAGTTAAAGAGATCTTAAATCTTGCCTGCTGACAGTAAAAAGAAGATGCAGTAACAGAAAGTTATTTTAGATTAGTACAAGGTCATCTTTTAGTCCTTTCAGGTAGATGTTAAGCTCAGCAAAAAGCATGTTGTTCTTTCATAGTTTTTTAATACCCTGCAGATTTTTTTCCTCCCTTTCCAAGGCTCCGGGAATTGCACCTTCCCAGTGCAATTTCCACAACAGACTCCTTCAGGTTGAATAACAATCCTTTCAGCAGCAACGCACTTGAGACTTGACTCCAGTGGTTTAAGACACCTCATGCAAATATGGGTGGTGCCACTTTCAGTTACTGTCCAGTTTTTAATGTCAAGTAAAAATGTTAAAACAAACCAAAACAACATTCACAAAGGTGGTCTCAGCAGCTGCTTTGGATGAGATCCACCAGGATATCGTCACCATTATAGATTGCTTCTCTAATTGCACCCACTGTTTGTAAACTTCTTTAATATCAAGTAATCCAAAAGCAAACATTTTCAAAGAAACTGTGACTGTAGCCTCTACTATAAAGCCATGTACCAATTAAGCCCATCCATTAAAGACCATACGTGCTGTATAATGAACAAATATACAGAGTGGTTAGGCCAGCATTTACAGACTGTATAGCTAGAAAGATTGTCACATTAGAAAGAGATAATCAGAAACAAAAGGAAAAGCTTACCCACATCCTAGACTCACAGAGAAACAAAACAAAACAAAACAAAACAAAACAAAACAAAACAAAACAAAACAAAACAAAACAAAACAAAACAAAACAAAACAAAACAAAACAAAACAAAACAAAACAAAACAAAACAAAACAAAACAAAACTCCACAGGGAGCAATCTCTAGAAAGGACCCTTTCTCTGAGGCAGTCAGTCCTTACATGGCTCTAGGAGAGGTGGAGCCAGGCTCCATCCCTCCCGGTCACACAGCTGAATTGCCTTCACCTGTGCTCTTGTTTGACTCATTGCTTGCCTCAGGTGACCAATCAGAGGTTCAGGCCATGATTCAATAGTTACTATACAGTATATATTCCATCACACTACCATCTTTAATTGCTTCATTTACACAGTTTCAGTAGTACTCTCTATGGACTGAAAAGTCAGATTAGCCAAGTATTCTTTACAAGCACCAATAGCTATGTAATAACAATCTATTTAATGAGATATACAAGGTCTACTCCAAAAGTAATGTCTGCTACTTTGTTATGTTTGCCTGCAATGTCAGAGGCAGTTGTTACTGGTATAGCAGTAGAGTCGGAACATTCCTGCTAATGTTGTCTTACTCTTTGTTGCTGTATGACAGATGGTAGCAGAGGGACAGTCTGATGAAATAGCCTCTGACATGGAAGTGATTATGATGCAATGCTATGTAATTGAAGTTCTCCATATAAAAAATATTGCATCCATTGGCATTCATCAATGCTTGCTGAATGTTTATTGGGATGAAACAGTGGATGTACATTTCAGTAGTGACAATGGCAACACGAATGATGAGCCATGTACTAGAGGGCCTTGCAGATTTTTATGAGTTCAGCATACAGGTTATTCATTGCTGGAAAAAATTCTAATGTTGGTGACTATGTTGAAAAATAGTGCTTTGTAGCTGAGAGGTTTCTCTATCAATTTATGTTATTGCATTCTTTCTATCTGTTGTAGTTTTCATGGAAATAAATAGAAGGCATTACTTTCTAAGCATCCTATGTACTTTTCTTGAAGTATGCTGACAGGAATTATGCTCTTTCTTTAAAGTAAACTACTCAGATTTTCTTATATCTCTTACTATCAAGTGTCTTGTTAATGCTGCAAGGAAATAAATGATATTTTTGTTCTCCATGTCACAGAAGTTTCCCCCGGGATTAAGAAGTTTGCTAAACACACACTTCAAAAGAAGTCTGTGCTTGCTTCCTCAGTATATGCAAACCTGTCTCAGACTAACTGTAACAGAAACTATTCAAACATCCCACCAGATTCACAATGCTCATCTTTATAATCCTTCATTTGGGCAAGAGACTTTAATCCCTTTAAAGCTGGTGCGGGACTGGACATTTTAAGCGTTTTCACAGCTCCTTGAGGCTTTCTTTGTACTTCGTAAGTGACAGAGGCATTTTATTGCAGTTTATATAAATGGTTACATGTTTTTCTTTACATACCAACCAGATCAACAGGCTGGGAATATTTAGGATAGTATCTATTTCCCAAGTTATCACTGCACAAAGGAGTATATTAAGCCCAAACACATTAAGTCTTTCCCTGTCATACAATGTATTTAATAGTTTCTGTAATGTAGCCATTTCTGCAATGGTTTTGTCAGGTAACTGATATTGTTTTGTTTTCTGCTGGCATCTATTGCTACGTGAATTCCAACTTTATATGATAACTTACTCATTCTGACGCTTAGAAGGCATAAAACTATCTATTATGCAGCAAAGAAATGGAGTCACAGAGTATCAGTTCAGTAATGAAAAGCATCCAGCCACCAGAAGAAGCTTGAAATTGACACATAAAACAATGTTAATTCAATAGTGAACCAAAGAGGCACTTGCATGCTGCATTTAAAAATTTTTAAAAGAAATAGCAGAGTATGTATCTGTGAAGTAGAAAATAAAATAGGAAGTTGTACTGCAGCTCTTTAAGGCTATTTCTTGGATGTTTAAAGATCTGACAGTTAAACTCAGCTTGTGAAGATGAAATTACATAATATTGTTCAGAACATTATATTGACAAAAATAGCTATGTAAGGCTACATAAGTTAACAGACAATGTTTTAAGGAAGAAAGTTATTTCAAAAGGAGAGAAGCTTACTGTGTTTTCATTTATTATGCCTTTGGATAATATCAAAATGGATCAAAAATATTTACTGTCTTTGATAATATTTTAAAACATGAATCATATTGCTTTTTCCCGAGAAAGGTTATAAGTATTTTTCTAGTACAGATAATTATCACTAGTTAGTACTGAGAAGGTCCTGAGTGAATGAAATAATTTTCTTCTAGATATTTACCCAATATACTTTTGAGATATTTTTGGTATATTTATTTACTTTACTTTTAAAATAACAACAAACAGCTGCATAACATTAAGCACTAACACTATTTAAAAAGTAGCAGTTGAGATAAAGCAAGATTTCTGAATCTGGACTAAACAGTTGGCACAGCCTGTTGTTTCTGTTTAGCTTTTTCTTTGGGCATATTAAAAACCTAATGTATTTCATTTCTTCCCTAGATTTTTCTTTTTTTAATAAACAGTCAAACAGCAGTCAGAAATGAAAGATATATCAAAAGCTAGATTCGCATGGTTTTTATGACGGTGGATAGAGTTTAGATTTTTGAAGAGCTTGCTGACATTAGGGATCATTTCTAAGTAGAATGACAGATGGGCTGAACTCTGTAGCTGCCCAAACTTGAAAAAGTTCACGAATGAAATCGTCTTTATCAAAATGACAACTCTCAAAATAGCTGTTGTGGTCATTTCCTTTGTGTCTCTGGCTAGCTCACTACTCTCATGTCACCTTGTTTCCTAGAAACTGTACCACATACGCATGTGAAACATTATAAGCTGACCTTTCCTGGTTCTCATGAGCAAGCCCTCTGCCCCCATCACAGTCATTTTTTAATTGTTATTGTAAATTCTTTTTTGACCTCACTGTTCCCAAGCCACTCCAAGGAGAATTTGTTTAAACTGTCTTCCAGCTTGTTCAAAATCACAGTGACACACTTCCCAAGTTTTACACTGCTTAAATTCTTTCCTTGCAATTTCTACTTTTCTATCATCATTACTGTGGAGGCACAAGCATCTTACATTCTTTTAAAGACATGTCAAGAAAGATCGTGGTTCTTGTTTGTTTTGATTTGTACGTTAACCCCCAAAGTCCTTTCCATTTTGTCTGTAAGTAAGTTCCACAGGATGTTATAGTACAGAAGTTGCTACTGGCTGATTAGCAAGTAGAAAACTATTTGTAAGGAGAAAGGGTATTTTTTGTGCACCTACTCATTTCTTTAATTATTTCCCCCACTTCCCTGACTCCCAGCTTTTGCACTGATCTTCCAAAGCCCTTCCCTGATGAGGTTCTTCAGCTTGATATTGTACTTCATTCAGCAAGGATTTAAGCTGCTGAAAATTAATTCAAATTGCTTTGGCTTAGGAGATGTATTACTCAAAATACTTGAGAGTAATATACAAACAAAGCAATCAGACCTTGAAATGAAAATTCATGTAACTTAATCTTCTAGCTCCCTGCCTGTACATTTGGCACATCCATCAACATTGTATGCAAGACATTATTTAGATGAATGCTACTTATGATCACATTCTTTAGCATTATATGCTTTCTGTAACTTAGTAAAGCCTGAAAATACACCTGAACTTGAAAAAAAGGAAAAGAAAAAAAGAAAACCAGTCTTTCAAACATAAAGCCATGCTGTCCTTCAACTTGCAATTTTACATCACTTGAGACATTCTCATTAGTGGCAAAACAGCTCAGGCATTAAGTTTTGAATCTGACTGTGCACACACTTCATAGTTTACTCACCTAACTGCATGAATCTCAATACTTACAGCCTCAGAGATCTTAAATCATTGTTCCAGACTCAACATGCATTAAGGAAACAAACAAACAAACAAAAACAAAGCAGAATATACTGAGATTTTCTCTTCTATAAATTGTTGTATGCACTGAGAATCAGAAAAAATGTTAGAAAAAACTCTATTAGATCACTTACCAAATTCAATATGAGTTGTGGCTATGGCTAATATTACTTAAAACAGAAGATAATTTATAGAAATTGTAATGTTGAAACAGAACTCTGCAAGTTCTTTTTTGCAGTACCTTATATACTGTAATCTTCTGGTTTCACCAAGTTAATTGAAATATTCAACCCACTTGAAGTTTAACTTGTATCCTTTTAAACCTTAGTTATTAAAAGAAACTGAAGGAGAAAATAACCAGAAGAATGAATAGAGGAAGCAGTAACATAGGGAAACATCTTAGACTGACGCATCATCTCATCTGTTTACTTCATAATACATCTCTCGGCTCAAGCATACACTAATGCTGAATCATCTTCACATGATCAAAGATTTCTACATCAACTTCTGCAGTCAAAAGTATAGTACCTCAGATCAACATTTCTTGAAGGGGACTCATTTGATTTAGAAAAGGTTCAACTTCAAAAGAGTTATCCAAGCCAGCCTGAACCCAGGCCATCTTCTTTGTACATCATCGTACTTCTTAAAAATGTTTTAGTTCAGGTTAGTCTAGAAAGGCAGTTTCAAAAGCATTATCATTTCTTATTTTCATGTCTTAAAACCTGAACTGAGTTTCCATACAGCTGAGTTAGTATTTTTTTCATTAAAACTTCAGTTTCTGGGAAATTTGAGATTATGCTTTTTACAGCTCAAATCCATCTCATTTTCATACAAAGCTACTTGTGCTGACATTATCATAGAGGTGCACCTGAATAAAAAATATGCAGTATGTAAGTTTTAAGAGGTTACTAGAAAATATTTAAATAATGCTGTAGTTCTGGTCATCAATAATGGATGTGATTCTCTGAACAGTAACATAAAATGTGTTACTTAATAAATGAACTGCAACTAAGAAACTTAGCCTGAAAGACCATGCCAAATTCATACACATTATTCATAATAATCATTTAGAAGATTTCACCAGCAAGCAGAATTTTATAGTAGTAAAATTAATATTGAATTTTATTTTTCTAATTGTCGTGCCTACAGAGTCCTAAAACAGTAAGTTAAAATGCAGCAAATCTTTTTGCTCTTAGTGTAGAAAAGTGGCTTATAGTCCACGTCCACCCCCCCGC